TAATTGTGAATAATAATCCCCAATTTCTAATCATGAGACAACTTGGAATCCAAATTATTAACCAAATGATATAAAATGCAAGGCATGATCAACTCGAATCACCTCATTTTTTTCATTTGCTCATTGTTTCACTGGTTCCTTCTAACAATTTTATTAAGACCGGGACAGGAGACATTAGCTCAACCTACTTCCACATAGCCAACCTACTGCCAGGACACAAAGAGTTCCATTTCTTCTGTAAAACATGAAAGCTGATGCTCAGAGCTCACAGAACAAATCAGAAAGTAGTTTAACTATGCCTGCCCCTACCGGTTGACCTTCATGATAATCAAGTCTTTCCCAATCAGTTTTTGCTAGTTCTTTCACAGTAAATAATATAATGTAATTAAAACAGAATAAACAAATGACAACAGAGTGTGAGAAGAAAACAGCTGTTATTTCTATAAACACTAAATCGAATGTTCTGGAAAGGCTCTTGAGAACTAAAATGAATTAGTAAGGATTTAGATATGAACAGGACAATCATGAAGATTGGGAGATTTTTTATTTTTTTTTTTATTTTTTTTTTTTTAATTTTTTTTTTCAATGTTTATTTATTTTTGGGACAGAGAGAGACAGAGCATGAACGGGGGAGGGGCAGAGAGAGAGGGAGACACAGAATCGGAAACAGGCTCCAGGCTCTGAGCCATCAGCCCAGAGCCCGACGCGGGGCTCGAACTCACGGACCGCGAGATCGTGACCTGGCTGAAGTCGGACGCCCAACCGACTGCGCCACCCAGGCGCCCCGTAGATTGGGAGATTTTTTAAAACATTTATTTACTTATTTTGAGAGAGAGCTCATACATGCACATAGGTTGGGGGAGGCGATGGGCAGAGAGAGGGAGGGGGAATTCCAAGCAGGCTCCACTCTGTCAGCACGAAGCCTGATGTGGGGCTTGATCCCACAAACAGTGAGATCATGATCTGAGCCGAAATCAAGAGTCAAGGGCTTAACCAACTGAGCCACCCAGGCACCCTGGGAGCTATTTTAAAAAGCAGTAAGAATTTTCACTGAGATAGTTTCACCTCAAACTGAAAATCAGAGGCAATGATTCGTAGGTATTATTAATACCAGAAGATGATTCAAAATTCCAATCAGTTAAGTTCCAAAGATCTGTGACCCACATCAAAAGACTGATGAATAACCGAGTATTTAAATGATTTATGTTATAAAACAATATTTAAGGTAAATATGCATTGTTCTATAATTTTCTACTTTAACCAATTTTTTCTATTCATCAACACACCATATGTCCCAGTATAACGTAGGTTAAGTAATATAGACGAGTCTTCTCATATGTAAAATAAAGAAAACAATTCCTACTCATAAGGCTGCTTTGAGGAGTAGATAAAATTATCCGTATAAAGGAATACTTGCCACATAGTATGATACATTACTCACTAGCTACCACCAATATGCTGGTGAGGGTAACACAATGGTTAAAAGTAATGGCAGGAGGAACCAGTCTTCCTTCCATCCCAGCTCAATTACTTATCAACCCGGTGACCTTAGGGGAAGTTACTTAAGCTTTCTGTGCCTCAAATCTTAACACCAGTGAAATGTCCATAATAAGAGCTCCGACTACCCAGGATTAGTATCAGGATTCAATGAAGTAATAAATGTAAAGTTCCTGAGACATAATAAATAAATGCTTAATGTAATAAATTTTAGCCATTCTTATTTTGTATATTATTGGCTTTTCGGCAACATAGAGAATTGTTCTTTCTTAGAGCATCAAGATATTTGTTATTACCACAGTCCCTTTGGTTCATGCTTCTCACTCTCTAGAAGGAACACAGGACGCAAGCAATTTTACTACAGACAGACCAACAGTGCCATCTAGTGGCAATTTTCTGATAAATTCGCCAACAGAGAAAGGTTGCCCTAAACAGGTAAAAATTTCTACAGATATGAATTTAATTTTTTTAATTTGTTTATTTTTGAGAGAGAGAGATAGATAGATAAAGGTTGTGAGCGCAGGGTAAGGGCAGAAAGAGAGGGGGACAGAGAATTCCCAGCTGGCTCCGCTTTGATAGCAGAGTGGGGTTCGAACTCCTGAACCGTGGTATCATGACCTGAGTGGAAGTCGGATGCTCAACTGACTGAGACGCCCAGGCGCCCCTGCATTTAATTTTTAAAACAAACAAAATCTAATGTTTTAGATTTGTAAATTTGGAAATTTGTGATGTGTTTTTTAATAATTATTTGAATTCAGTTCAACTACAGCCGGGAGAAATTTTTTAAAAACTACAAACCACAAGAAGAGTGCTTGGCAATTATGGTACAAAGAAGACTGTTTTTTGTTTTTGTTTTTGTTTTTGTTTTTTTTTAATATGAGCCAAACAATTGGGCTTAAACCCACTGCCAAATTTTTTTGTACAGATTTGCAATGCTAATAAATCCGTATGAGAATTAGAAATGTGAATTTTTGGTACAATTCAAATAGCACGATAGTTATATACCAAGGAATTAAGTTATATTGTTGGATAAAGTATAATCAATACCATACAAGGATCTCATGCAATAGCACCATTCACTTTTTACTTTCTGCAAGTCAAAACTTATAGATGAACTCAAAACTACTGTAATCTAGGGGCGCCTGAGTGGCTCAGTCGGTTAAGCATCTGACACCGGCTCAGGTCATGATCTCATGGTTCGTGGGTTCGAGCCCTGTGACAGGCTCTGTGCTGACAGCTCAGAGCCTGGAGCCTGCTTTAGATTCTGTGTCTCCCTCTCTCTCTGCTCCTCCCCCACTCACACTCTGTCTCTCTCTCAAAAATAAATAAACATTTAAAAAAATAAAAAAAAAAAACCTTCTGTAATCTATACTATATGGCAGTCCTCACTTCACTCAGTTGAAATACACATGAATTTCACAGCCACAATTTACTTAAATAGCACCAATCGTCCAATAGCACAGTTCAAAGTTCAGTTATCATGGTAAATTAACTGTGAGTAATTATGTAAGAGCTGCTGGCCCTCTGGTTCACAAATCACCGTGTAAATAAAGATGAGCATCATGTTCCCTGAGCAACACATTTGACACTTCTTTAAAAGTCCGTTGATGATTGATCACTGCACATTTGTTATTTGGGTCAAACATCAACAGCAAATCATACTTCCTCCTGGTCTCCCGGTGGTCAACTTACAAGACATTTCACAAAAGTAGATAATCAACAGAGGGAATTAACCTGTAAAGGTGACAGGGCAGCAAAAAAATAAAATGTGGTGACACTGGAAGTGAAATGAGATGTGAACAGAAGGTCTGAAAATGGCAACAACAAAGCGAAAATAACAGAAACCTGTGTCCCCAGGAAGGGAAGAGCTATGATTAAGTGCTCCGGTAGGACTCTGATTGAATGGAAATGGGTTGTGCAGGAATGAGGTGACCCTGGAATGTTGACTCTGGGCCCTTTGGAGCCATGTGGATATGCAGCCACAGAAGCTCTAATGAAGGTGGACTGTCTCCCGTACATGAAGAAGGTTCTTATGACAAAACGATGACAACATCCCAGAGGAAGTGGCACCAGCATAAACCATCCCATAAGAGAAACTCTCAGAGAGATTTCAGAACCGTGAAAAAACTATGAACCATAAGAAGACTGCTTGGCAAATGATTACAAAGGACGAAATGGAAACTGACCCAAACTTAGAGAGGAATATGCAGTTGAATTCACCAAGGCCCAGGAAAGACGCTTGCTCCATATTGTAAGTTACATGATGAGAAGGCAAGCTCCCGTGCAAGCTCCTCTGAACAAGTTTTTTGCAAAGAAATAACACTTTAATTCTCGATGTTTCTAATGTTTTAATTTATAGTGTGCTGAACAAATATTAGCTTCCCTTTTTTTGTGTGTTCCATTTCCCTATATGTTTATGAACCACAGAGAGAGAGTTTTTAATGTTTGGGGAGAACATTTTAAAGGTCAGAGAACGAGGGGCACCTGGGTGGCTCAGTCGGTTAAGTGTCCAACTTTGGCTGAGGTCATGATCTCACGGTTTATGAGTTTGAGCCCCACATCAGGCTCTGTGCTGACAGCTCATCCTGGAGCTTGCTTCGGATTCTGTGTCTCCCCCTCTCTCTGCCCTTCCCCCACTCACACTCTGTCTCTCTGTGTCTCTCAAAAATGAATAAACGTTAAAAAAATTTTGTTTAAGGGGCGCCTGGGTGGCTCAGTCGGTTAAGCGTCTGACTTCAGCTCAGGTCATGACCTCACAGTTCGTGAGTTCGAGCCCCGCGTCAGGCTCTATGCTGACAGTTCAAAGCCTGGAGTCTGCTTCAGATTCTGTGTCTCCCTCCTTCGCTACCCCTCCCCCACTCTCTCTCTCTCTTTCAAAAATAAATAAACATTAAAAAATATTTCTTTTAATTTTTGTTTAAAAAAATAAAAAAATAGGGGCGCCTGGGTGGCGCAGTCGGTTAAGCGTCCGACGTCAGCCAGGTCACGATCTCGCGGTCCGTGAGTTGGAGCCCCGCGTCGGGCTCTGGGCTGATGGCTCGGAGCCTGGAGCCTGTTTCCGATTCTGTGTCTCCCTCTCTCTCTGCCCCTCCCCCGTTCATGCTCTGTCTCTCTCTGTCCCAAAAATAAATAAAAAACGTTGAAAAAAATATTTTAAAAAATAAATAAATAAAATAAAAAAATAAAGGTCAGAGAATGACTGTTGTTTTTCCCATTGGGTTTTTAAGGTTGCTTTGCCTGGTTTCAGTGTGCACAGTCATTGTCACGGTCTTGGAGCTATTGTACAAAGTAAGGACTATGTGTAATTTTTGCCTACATTTTTCCTTTATAAGTTTCAGTCATTGCAAGCAGAAGTCATCCAGGCTTTGCCAACAATTACCTGCTAGTGTAAGAGCTAGTCCCTTCGTGAACGTATTTCCTAAACTACTTGCAGTGCCGTGATAGAATGTTGAAAGACGCCCTTTTTCCTCACCAAAGCAGACATATACAAGAGCCTTAGGTACCTGGTAGTGGTAACTGAACCAATATACCACTGACTCGTGGGTCCATATTCAATTGATCAGTTATATCCAAAAGTTCTTCCTGAGAAACATCCTTTGGTTTTAGAATGATCTCACTACGGATCCCTGGAAGAACAACAAACACAGAGAGAGTCATTTGACCAGCAAAGATGTGGTTTTTCAACAACGGTGTCTTACACGGTGCATAAAAAGGTTTCCTCTGCGCCTTGCCTCATTGGAAGGAAAGGACCTTCTACAAAAATGATGTTCAAACCACCACTAAAAGGGATGTCTCAAAGAGTACAGATGTTTTCTCATGATTCACACGCAATTTTTGGCCCAGTATCGTATTGCATTTATTTGTGATGAGCTACTGTTAGGGGATGTGAATCTAGTAAATATGTTAATACCCCTCACCACCATTATTAGGCCAAGTTCAGCAGAGCGAACTGGCCAGGTTTATTATCTGATTAAAGCAAGTATAATAAAAATAGGCCTTTTTTTAAAAAAAATTGAAATACAGCTGACACACAATGTTACACCAGTCTCAGGTATACAACATGGTGATTCGACAAGTATGTTCATTTTGCTAGCTAGGCTAATCACAAGTGTAGCTACAATGGTCACCATACAATGCTATTACAATATCACTGACTACATTCCCTATGCTATACCTAAAAATGGGCCCTTTAATGTTTATTTCCTTTTGAGAGAGCGCCAGTGGGGAGGGGCAGACAGAGGGGGACAGAGGATCTGGAGTGGGCTCTGTGCTGACAGGCTGATGGCACAGAGCCTGATGTGGGCCTCGAATTCACAAACTGCGAGACCATGACCTGAGCCAAAGTCAGACGCTCAACCGACCGAGCCACCAAGGCACCCCTAAAAATGGGCTCTTTAAATGTACAGTGTTCCTCTGACATATCACCATAGGATCTGAAATCACATCAAATTAATTCAGTAAGAAAGCTGGAGAAAAACATTAGGAAATGAATATAAACTTGGGTAACTCATCTCTAATAGTAATGGTAATAATGGTAAATGTTATTCAAATGGCACTTATTTGGCAATTCTCACTGATAATTACTGCACTTTGAAGGAACACAAGAAGACATGACTTAGTAACAAGAACAACTAAAACGCATCCCCACCTACAGCAGACGCAGCTCTGATCTTCTTCCTGACGTACGTGTGGCTTGCTGGGTTATCACCCACTAAAATGATACTGAGGTGAGGTCTTCTGTTCCCAAGGGAAATCCATGATTCCACACCTCTCTGTATTTCTTTCTGGATTTGTTTGGCCATTTCAGTTCCTGAGATAATGATGGCATCATGTCTGTGGAAAACAAAGAATAAATATAGCACTAAAAAGACAGTAAGGAACATTCAACCGCATAATCTTAAGTTACAAGAGTGAACAACACATCTGTGATTCTCCAAGTGAGCAACCTTAAATCAACCCCCAGAAAAGCAGAAAGAAATACATATATTGAAAAGGCTTTCTTGCTCTCCGTGATCTCAAACTTCAAAGTGGTGAATTAATGTTGCTCTCACTGTGTGTTTGTTTTTTTAAGGTACCTGATAAAGTATAAGATGGTTCTTTCTTCCTGCTCCCCCTGTCCTTTCACTATTGAAAGGCCTGGCGGAAGCAGATCTGTATGTAGCACATGATTATTACACAAAACCCCAAATGCAGGTCAATGAATATCGTGAAGAATGGAAAAGGAGGCGGGGGAAGAAGCAGAAGAGAAAAAAGAGAAAAGGAAACCTTACAGCACCTGAATTCTTTCTAGTACCTGTACACTTTTTATTTTCTAATGAGAGCAGGCAACATGAATATCAACCAACACACAGAAAATGCAAATTTCCTGCCCCTTTCAAATAAGTCAACTGTCCTTTCTAAGAGGACATATATATACAGGGGGAGGGGGGGCAGGGGGGCAATGAACTAGATCAAGAATACTCCTTTTCAATCGGGCACCAGTGGTCCAAAGTGTCTATCCAAGTTTGCACCATTTTGACGTGAACATTGTTCTATTAAGAAGTGATGCTGCCTGTTGGTGGGAATGCAAATTGGTGCAGCCACTCTGGAAAGCAGTGTGGAGGTTCCTCAGAAAATTAAAAATAGACCTACCCTATGACCCAGCAATAGCACTGCTAGGAATTTACCCAAGGGATACAGGAGTGCTGATGCCTAGGGGCACTTGTACCCCAATGTTTATAGCAGCACTCTCAACAATAACCAAATTATGGAAAGAGCCTAAATGTCCATCAACTGATGAATGGATAAAGAAATTGTGGTTTATATACACAATGGAGTACTACAGGGCAATGAGAAAGAACGAAATATGGCCCTTTGTAGCAACGTGGATGGAACTGGAGAGTGTGATGCTAAGTGAAATAAGCCATACAGAGAAAGACAGATACCATATGGTTTCACTCTTATGTGGATCCTGAGAAACTTAACAGAAACCCATGGAGGAGGGGAAGGAAAAAAAAAAAAAAGAGGTTAGAGTGGGAGAGAGCCAAAGCATAAGAGACTCTTAAAAACTGAGAACAAACAGGGTTGATGGGGGGTGGGAGGGCGGGGAGGGTGGGTGATGGGTATTGAGGAGGGCACCTTTTGGGATGAGCACTGGGTGTTGTATGGAAACCAATTTGACAATAAATTTCATATATTGAAAAAAATAAAAATAAAAAAAATTACCTTTTTTGCACCAAAAAAAAAAAAAAAAAAAAAAAGAAGTGATGCTGCAATGTGATCTATGGATACATACACCAAAGTTGCTTGGGAAGTTTGCTCAAGTTGCAGATTCCCCAACCCATGATTGAGAACACCCTGGAAATCTGCATGTCTGACAAGTTCCCACAGGTATTCATGTGCATGACCATGTTCGAAAACTACCTGCTCAATTCAATACAAAAGTATATTTTAAAAATAATCATTACCATAGGTAAACAATTAATTGAGCAAACAAACAGATTAGAGAATACAATTACAACTAGACTTTATAGCTGTAAGTAAACTCAACTTTTGATTCTGACTTGTCTACGTTTCACCAAAAACTTGATAGCTTTCAAGACAAGGAAAATCATGGCAAATTTATTGATCAGTCTTGCTCCACTGTCCTAATTTTATAATAGCTGTATTGAAGTATAACTGACAGGGACCTGGGTGGCTCAGTCAGTTAGGCATATGACTCTTGGTGATGCTCACGTCATGATATCATGGTTCATGGATTCGAGCCCTGCATTGGCTCTGCATGAGCAGCGCGGAGGCTACTTGGGATTCTCTCTCTCTCTCTCTCTCTCTCTCTCTCTGCCCTTTCCCTGCTCTCTCTCTCTCTCAAAATAAATAAATATATTTTTAAAATAATAAAGAAGTATAACTGACATAAAATATATTGTACATATTTAAAGTGTGCAATTTGATGTTTTAATATATGTATATACCTAGGAAACTATCACCATGATCAAGCAAATGAAACTCCTGTAAGAATTCTGGTACTCTTGGGGCGCCTGGATGGCGTGGTTGGTTAAGCGTCCGACTTCAGCCAGGTCACGATCTCGCGGTCCGTGAGTTCGAGCCCCGCATCAGGCTCTGGGCTGATGGCTCAGAGCCTGGAGCCTGTTTCCGATTCTGTGTCTCCCTCTCTCTCTGCCCCTCCCCTGTTCATGCTCTGTCTCTCTCTGTCCCAAAAATAAAAAAATAAACGTTGAAAAAAAAAATTAAAAAAAAAAAAAAAAAAAGAATTCTGGTACTCTTTTCTAAATCTCACCATTCCCCCTGTCCTGGCCATGTCCCTCCTCAATCAACAGGCAACCACTGGTCTGCTTCCTGTCACTATATCTTAGTTTGTATCATCACAAATTTTGTACAAATGGAATCATGCACAACATACTCTTTTTTATCCAGCTACTCTCACTCAGCATAATTAAGATTCATTCATGTTGTTGCATGTATCCATAGTTCATTTCTTTTTATTGTTGAGTAGTTTTCCATTGTATGGATATACCAAAATTTGTTTATCCATCCAATTATTGATGGATATTTGGGTTGTTTCCAGCTTTTACTCATGGCAAATAAAGCTGTTATAGACATTCATGTACAAGTCATTGTATGCACAATGAGCAAATACCTAGGAGTAGAATGGCTGGGTCATACAGCAGGTATATCCAAGTCCTTTATCAGAAAAGTGATTTGAAATATTTTCTCCTACTTTGTGCTTTGCCTTTTCATTCTCTTAACTGTGCCTTTGGAAGATCAGCTCTCAATTTTGATGTATTTCCATCAATTTTCCTTTTCCTTTTATGGTGAGGCATATAAGAAATCTTCGCCTAACTTAAGGTCACAAAGGTTTTCTTCAACGTTTCCTTCTAGTTTTATGTGTTCAGGTCATACATTTAGTTCTGTGATTTAGTTTTACTCTTAGTTTGATGGAACTTTATTTATATCAGGATATTGTCAAAGTTTTTTTAATGTGTGTGTATAGAGATAATCATATGACCACATGATTTTTTTTTTTTTTTGGTTTTAGTCTGTTAATATGATGAATTATATTGATCGATTTTCAAATGTTAAGCCAGTCTTGCATTCCTGGGATAAGCCTCACTTGGTCACGATGTGCTTATCCTTTCCAGATATTCAGGATTTTATCTAAAATTTTGTTAAATTTTTTGCTTCTATGTGCATGACAGGTATTTATTTATAGTTTTCTTTTCTTGTAACGTCTTTGTATGATTTTGGTATCAGGGTGATGCTGCCTTTATAAAATGAGTTAGGATATATCCCGTCCTCTTCAAATTTCCAGAAGAGTTTCTGCAGAATTGGTATTATTTCTTCCTTAAATGTTTGGTAAATTTCACCCATGAAGCCATCTGGTCCTGGAGCTTTTATTCTGTTAAAGTTTAAGATCAAGTTTAAATGAAGTTAAGATAACATACTTACTTCTGAGTTTAAATGTTATCTTTCAAGATTAGGTAACAAACTTTTTTCACTATTTACTATGAACTTCTAGTGCTCATTTTTTATTAATTCATTTAAGTGATCTTTTAATTCTAAGAGAACGAGGAACTCCTCTATTATAAAATACTAAAGGCTGCAGTAATTCCAGAATGACTCATTTCTAAGAGTCATAAAAATAATAAGTCAATAAATAAATCAATAAATACTTTCCATAAATTAAACTGTGCCAACATATTCACTTAGGGTAAAATACCTAAGCTTATCTGCTAATACACTAGAATTCACTCTTGTAACAAAGAACATGCATTTGTATTTTAAATTACAAAATCACCTGAGCCCTATGTTACATTTTATAGTATATGAATAGAAACTGCTGCTGCTGACATGTTTTATTAGTTGATTCTCTGTTACAACAATTCGTTCATAGGTTACCGTGAAACTGGCAATCACTGAACATAATCCACGATAATTATGGCTTAGATATTACAAAGCTGTGTGACTCTGAGAGTGTCAGAGTTGACTGTGGCATAAATGGACTCATGACTTCCAAAGACAGACAATCTATATACAGATTAAACTTGACTGCACCATGTTGGGGTCTGAGAGAAGACAGGGCTTACTTTACAGCACAGATGTGCTAAGTGAGTTTGCTAACTATAGCTGACACGTTATAGCCTGGTCTAGTTGGTATTTATGGGTAAATACTCAGAAGACTGCCACCTAATTATAAAAGGAACTTTGAGGATTTTTCAGTAGCAGCTGGCTCCGCCTATTGGTTCCCTCAATCCCTGCAGAGCCTGGGCAAGCCTGGATTTGTGTGAGATATGATATAAGGATAAATGAGGCAAGCAGGAATTAGTGGAGACTCAAAGGAAGGATGCCCCTATCAGCCTATATGCTGGAAGCACTGGTAAACACACACATTACCTAGCTCAGTGCAAAAACAAATGAGACTTTTCAGCACGCATACTGTTGAAACATGTTAAATATCAATACTAGTGTGAATTTCAGCCATAGAAGCCCACAGCTCCTAAGAGTTTCCCTGGCTCAAGTCAATCTCTACCATCCATTATCTGCACCGCAGCCAGAGTGATTTTCCAAATCTAATCATGTCACTTCCTTGGTTAAAACGCCTCACTTACAAGCCCAATGTTTATTGACTTAATAAATACACACTGAAAACCTTTTATCTGCCAGGCACTATTCTAGACACTGGAAATATAAATAACAGTGTACAAAACAAACTGCCCACTTTTACGGGAACTACAATCCAGTTGAAGAAGACATAATAAGCAAATTTTTTAAAAGGCAAATATTTATATCATGTGTGAAAAACAGAGGGAAAGGGCATATCTGGGGGCCAGAGCTGT